TTGAAGTTCGGAGGGGTGCGATTTCCGGTGGTAAGTAAAACCGCGAAACGGCAAAAGAGGTTAGCGTTATCAGAACGTTCGGCCGGTTGAATTCCGGTAGCACGAGTCGCGCTGGTAAAACGACGACGAACGAGAGAGGCGGAAAGAAAGGGGAAAAAGGGCGAGAATCGAGGAGTACAGGTCGAAAGAGAGAAGAGAAGGATAAGAAGACGAAGGAAAAGAGGAGGGACGGGGGGAGGAGAGGAAAAGAGAGAAAAAGCTGAAAGGGACTCGTAACGAAGGAGCTGGCAGAGCTAGTCGTGGGTCCTATACAAACTTTCCTGTCCAAGTTCGAAGGACCCCGTGGGTCCACCTCGAGGAACCTTTTCTCGAGGATCCCTCTATTTAAATGGCCAGGCGTTTGTTCGCCAGGACTCGTTTCGTTCTATTGTTCCCGCCTTATTTTCGTCGAGGCGCGTCCTGAATGTCCGCACCCGTCCCGTCACCAAAGGGTAAGCAAGCCTCGAAACGTGGCCCCGACTTCCTTTGCAATTTGCAAATTTCCAGTTTAATTTCGATTCGCCATTAACCCAACGCGTCTCCTTCTGCTCTGTTACCCGTTTACGTTCTTATTATTGCCTCCCTTGCATTCAAACGGGCTTTCTCATACTCTTTCGTTAGACTCTATTCTTCGATCGGCAAGTTAAAGACGTCCAGAAGTGAAGTAACACGTGGTGGCCACTGGTTGATTACGAGGGTGGCTTTCATCGTTACTAACAACCAAAGTAGGTACGCTCTCTGGTCGAGCGTGCACAATGCTCGAAACTCGAAGCGGAGTGTATAATATAATCGGCATCGGTAACGTTTAATCGATCGATCGTCCACCACCCCCGTGGTTCGAAAAACGTTGGTTCGAAAGGGAGGTCACGGCATGGGAATGCGAAAGAGGAGGAAGGACAAAACCTGGGACAGGTGTGCTCGAAATAGAGCGCGAACCGAAAGCCTGTCTTCGGGACGCGTTTCCGATTCCTTCCCTCCGTCGGATCTCTTCGTCTCGCTCTATTGCCGAAAATCGAGCGCACATCAGACCTGTGAATGCGCCTTTGATTGTCCCCGACTGGCTCTCTTGTGAACTCTCTCCCCCCTGGTCACTCCGGTACTACGCTCGTCCCGCTTTTTCTAGTTGCTTCTTTCCTCTTTCTCCCACCTTGTTCGTGTTTCACCCCTCCGACTTGTACTCGACGAGACACGGGACCATTTCGAGAGAAACGCCACGGGCAAAAGGTGCGCCCGGGGTCAATCCAATATAAATCAGAACCGAGTCTCGGAGCTAAGCCGAGCTCGGAGCGCGGAAGGAGCTGTGGAACGACGGCTCCGGGGCTGCCACCAAGGGGAAGAGGGTGTTCGCTACGATGAATAGACTATTTTTAGGGACCGCTCGCGGTCTGTACACAGCCCGTATACTCCTCGTGCGTCTGTGTTTGTGACGTTTTCAAAAGGGATTAGGTACCAAGTGCTCACCTGCCCTCCCTCCACTCCGTCCCTCTCTTCTTGGCAACGTTTCCTCTTCTCTTCTCTTATCTTTCGAGAACCTAAGCGATTTCATCTGGGACACCCCCCTCTTGCCTCGACTGTCTCGCCAATCTCGCACACCGACGCGAAGAAGGACGCTCGTCAACGTCACCGGCGTACACAGTCGCGGGACTAGAGAAGACGTCGTAAGAGTAGTTAACGTCCCTGGAAACCTTATCCACCGGATAATCTTTCGGTTCGTCCAACGAATTTGCCACCGTTTCTTTCGCAACAGCGAATAGATACGTCCGTTGGTGCGTGCGGAAGGCGAGATTCGCGCCAATTCGTCTGCCGAGGGTAGTAGGAGATGGCGAATCGAGGACCGTTAATGGCTTCCTCTTTCTTCTCTTCGAACCGTGAATGCCGCACGCGAATTAATCGGGCAAAAGCCAGCGACGCCAGCCAGCGGTAAATTCTCCATTATCTTCCAGATCTCTTGCCACGTCCCGAGACGTTTGAACGCGTCCGATGATCGATTCGACTCGAATTCTGTGGATAAGAAAGGGAAAGAAAGGGGACGATGCTCCTCGGTTAATTCCCATCCTCGAGAGGAGCCTTCGACCACGCCGAAATCGTTAAAAACAGCTTTTACACAGCATACATTAACCAGAGGCGAGGGGATGTCGGTGGTGCTTGCAAGCATGTTCAGTTTTTCAACCGTCGCTCTATTTTATTCCTTACCCCGGTTCGAGGACTCCGCTCCGAGCCTGTCTCTTTCTTCGCGGGGTCTACGTGTACGAGGAAGGGAGTTGCTCCGTATACGCAAGGGAGCACCGAAATGGATTAAACCCGACCGAGGCGGGGGGAAGGCTAGCCCCCTTTCACGTTTGGGACTCGATCCCAAATCTTGCCCCGAGTATTGTCAGTCCCGTGTGGATATTTTACAAGCCATAAAAGCGACAGATATGGGCCACGTTGTATTCGAAAGGCGCGCCAACTAAAAGGGACTGGAGCAATTTAACGTCATCGTTTGCCACTTGCCGCTCAACGAATATCTTCTTACCACGGTTAGTCGTTCGCGCGAGCGAGATTGCCTTGAGATTTTTAACGCGCTCATTTATCAGCGTTTCCGCAATGTACGTCACGGATAGCGCGCTTCACCCCAGATAATTAAAGAAGACTGCAGCCGAGGTGAACACGGATTGCGCCGCATTTAAACGGGCGCAATTTAACGTCTCTCGTCGGACCCTTTTTCGTGCACTTGTCTCCTCGAGCTCGTAACGCGCGCTGACTCTTTCCTACGCTGGCCATTTGTCGGTCGGTTACATACGTCGTAGAGATCGTTAGATGAGACGATAAAGTCCACAGGTGGACCATGAGTCCCCTTTTCTAAGCGCGCTGCCGCACGCACTCAAGATTTATCGTTCACCGGTAATTACGGCTCCCTACAGCTGCGCTTATTAAGCCGCCGGGATATTTTTCTCCGCTAATCAATCGCGTACCTGCTGCGCAAAGAGCTTCGTCCTCGCTTCGAGCTGGCAAGTGGCACTGCTTCGCCCCTAATCGGGCGAAATAAGTAATCGTGTGAAAGAAAAAATAAGCAGCCGTACTTATGCAAATGTAGTTTAACCGAAATTTCCTGGCCTGTCGCGCGACAATCCAGCCGGAAAACCAGCGGTGATAGAATTCGGAGCGCAGGTGCAGCCGACTCGACGATGCTGTTTGCCAGCACGCGTGAAATCCATTGCTAGCGGTGCAAATCGCGGGGTATTATGCAAAGAGACCGTACACTATTTTCCGTTACTCGTTACTGGCCTAGAGGCCCAGCGTGGCGGAGAGCGCACGTTGCCTCCGACATACGAAACGTTTTAAAGGTTTTGCGCGTGTCGTTCGACTGGTTCCCAGGCGCGGGGTCCGTGACATCTTGAAAAACGTATCGCCGGTTAAATACTCGGGCAAATGCCTGGCAACCGGTTCAAACGTACGGGGGATATCCTCGTCATCTCCCGATAAATGTAAATGTTTTGCGGCGAAGGAACACGACTCGTACGACACTTGCTCTAAGAATCACACCCGTGCATTGTAATGCTCAATGACCGAAGCTGTCTGCTGCGTTTCGGCCAGTTTCTCACGGTGACAAAAGTGCTGGCTGATCAGAGTCGGAAACGTTTACCGGTGGTTGGACGCGCAGAAAAAGAGAGGAGAGTGGATGTTGGAGAAGAAGAAAGGGTGGCGAAAAGAATAGAATACGTTAAAGGAGGAGGAGAACGGGCGCACGAGAATGAGCGCAGATAGCGATCGTCTCGTTTACGGCGGTTCGACACCGAGCTAGCTACCGAGCGAGCGAGCGAGCGAGCTCTCGTGCTTTGCGGGACCAGATGGAAAGCACGCTTCCACCATATGGGCAGGTGCCTGTGTTACCGTCTATACGGCAGGAATAATCCGAGGGCCAGCGTAGAAACGCGAAAACGCGCGTGTATGGACGTACGTGGACGAAAACGTGCCGGTGCGTGGAGCACAGGTAGAGGCGGACTCGAAAGTAAGTACTACGGGAACGTTGGTGAAAAAGTGTGCGTTGCGACAGAGGAACGCATGCGCGGCATGGCAACAGCCTGCATGCAAATGAGCGCATTTTTATACTTACTTCAGCAGAGCGCACCCCCCTCTGAGGAACCGTTAAAAGTGAAAACCTGCTACCGCCGCTAATGCCATTTACCGACGCTCATTCACGATATGATAATCAAATCTCTCGTCCTTTCTCTCTGAAATCAGGAGGAATTCAACAAGGAACGGCGCGGTCGCGTCCACGTCGCGTCGAGTCCTGCTGCCACAACCAAATTCAATCGTTCTAATCGAATCAACGATTACATGGATCAGCGAGTTCTGGCCGCGGGCTCGAGAAATTTGCTCGCGCCACCGATTTCATTCATTCGCTCTCCTTCGTCCAGTTTTCCCTCTCGTCGTCCCGACGCGACGCGACGTTCGACCGTTCGTTAAGTCGAAGCAAGTGTTGAGTCGTGAAAAAGACTCAGGTGTATACCACCGGGTTTCACCTGTTTTGCTGTTTCCCGTATGCCGTGACAGGTGCACCCCCATTGCTTTCGTCACCGTCTTTCTGATACATGTTCCTCTCGTTCCTCTCTTCTTTTCGTTTCTGCCTTTGGCCCGCTACGTAATTACAGCCGGACGAAAATTTATTTTCGGCAGACCATCCGGTCGATGCAACAGAGCCAGAGCCCTTCTTCCTGCGATCGTGTGTCCCTTTAACGCGAGATCTCGCGATAAGCCTGCCGTTTCTTTCGTCACGCGCGACAACGTAACGTAGCTAGTACCCACTGTGCAACCGAGACGACATGTAATCGTGCCGGGCGTCGTCGAGCGTCGTCGAGCGTCGTCGAGCGTCGTCGAGGATCGCGGTTAAATCGATAAAGCTTCTCAGCCGAGTTACGAGAAGAATGCACGTTAGATGCATTCCGCTTACTTAGGGCTTTTGCTTTCTGCCCTCAGAGATGCTCAAGTGGACGGTATCGAGATCGTTGTCAGCGAACAGCTCGACTCCTCACGGCCCACCTAGCCTGAACAAGGCGCCCCGTAGGCCTTTTCGAGACCTGTCCAACACGCCTCCCGCTGCTGCTGGGACGAAAACTCGAAATCTACCTGGTCAAACTGTCGAGAACGCGACGGCGAGAACGACGCCTGCTCGTCGAAGAAGATGCAAGAGCCATGCTAGCGATTTGAGAACGTACTTTCAGGTATCCATCTTCTTCCCCGTTTGCTCTCCTTTTCGTTAACACACCGCGAGCAGCACCGTTACCTTAATCTGCACCGGTTACGGTTCCAGGCTACCAAGCCGAATTTGCGCGCGAACAAACGTCAGTCGATGTCACAGGAGCCGGAGAAGTCATCGGTCACGGAGAGCTTCTACCAAAGCACGCCAAGGGTCGACGCCGATATCGGCCCGTTAACGTTTTTCCCCGGAGGCAGCAAGTGCTCGACGGCTCTGACCCTGCCAACCGATCCGGCGCTCTATATGAAAGCTAGAACAAAGAATTTCCAGAGCGACAACGAGCTACCGCAAAACATCGTAAACGAGGCCAGAGCCAACCTCCAGTCGCACGTATCCGACTTTTTTCAACAGATATCCATGGCCACGAGCCCCGAAGACGTGATGGAGGTCGAGTCGGTGCCGCTCGCGAAAAACAAACTTTACTCGCAGAACGCCGAGACAAAGCCGAAATTTGCCGACTCTAGTAAAATGATCACCTACCTGCCGAAGCTGGCGAAGATCACAAAAATCCACGCTCGTTGCAAACCACCGTACCACAATAAGGCCACCTCGGCTACGAGCTCCTTTAAGAGCAAGAGTCACGGCCAGACGCCTTTGGCCGGAAAACTGTCCAATTTGGCCATCGACCAAGATTTGCCTAAATTCGAAAACATGGACAACACCGTGACGGAAGTCCTCAACAGGTAAGAAATCGGAGCGAGCTCTGTGACCCTCTTCTACCTCCAGTCAATAATAATCACGTCCACCGGTGTGGCGTTTCTCTATTTCTGTTTAGGGAGCAAGAGATGAATTTCAGCGGGAAAACGGTGGCGGAAATTCTTCTAGGAGACGTCGAGGAGAGAAAGAAGGTCCTCGAAGGTAGCTACGACGACGAAACTCTGACGAAAACCGATCACACGTACGAGACTATCGCGGAGGGAGAGAGAGAGAGAGAGGGTCACAACGACAGCTCGGTTTCTTCGGCCAGTCAACTCTTGGAAGATCCTTCGCCAATGTCCTGGGCCTTTACCTCGCCTACGAACGATCTCGACGGAGAATTCACGCTCAAGAGGCAGCGAGGAATTCGAAGGAAGAGGCATCGAAAGGATACGGGCAAGAGTTACGAGGGGAAACGAGCGAAGAGGCGATCGTCCAGTCACAGTCCGTCCACCAACGGTAGTATCAACCGAGAGAGGACTCGGGACACCTTGGTGGAGGCTGTGAATCCAAACGTGAAGAAACTCGCCTTGGAGACCGATCTGGACACCACTTTGGACGAAAAGTGCGCGTTCGAGGCGAAGCCGCTGTTCGGCGAGCTCGAGGATCGCAAAGACGGAAGGAAAACTGGTACGTGGGACTTGGACAGTCCAAAGTCGACCGTCACCGACGATTTTCACACCTCGAAATCGTTTCTGAATTCGATGCCGAACACGCCGGAGACTCCTTTGGTCGCTACCGTGCGAAGATGTCTCAAGTACAGTCCGGAAAGCGAGCCTTCCAAGTCCAATTGCCACGGATCGATCGAGATCGAGTATTCCGTTGTCGGCGATCAGATACACGTTCGAGGTGAGTGAGAATTAACGGGCGTCGGGGGAATTTTCGGGTAGAATGGAAGGAATACGTGTTCGCGAGGGCTTCCGACGGCGCGGCGATCAAGACGTCCCTGGGAAGTAGTCGCGAAAAGGCATGCGCCGGTTACGTGCCACGAGAGGGGGTGTTTCAGTTGGCACCCCGCGATAGACGACTGTGCCAGTAACCCACAGACCCTTCTTTCCCGCAATTCGCTCCCGGTTAGTAGGCCTACCAACATTGATTCTTGCTGGTACACATCCTTGCGTAAACAACCTTCGGAAAATCTATCAAAGTTTCCTCTCCCGCGACGCGTTTCCCCCTTTGTTCCTACAGGGGATACAGCTCGTCGAGAAATTTCTCCTATCGTACGCAAGCTTCCCCGTGTGAACAACGCGTTCATCTTCCTCCTCTCTTCGATTCGCTCGCGAGCCGTTTGTTTGTCCAACGGGGAGGAAGCAGCACTCGCGAGTGTGCGAGTTTCCGTCTTGCAGCAAGCAGAGGAGTGCCGCCGCATTGGCTGGACGCTCGCGGTGCGCGTAGTGCGTCAGGAGGAACAAATTCGTCTTCCTTCTTAACCCGTTAATTTCGCATCGAGAGGGATACGCAACGTTTAGAAGAAGAGTTAGTTGTTCGCGTCCTGACGAGGCTGTCTTTCTGTTTCGGCCAGTGATAAGGTGCAAGGACCTGAGGAGGGCATACGAAGGTCCGATTCACGCCTACGTCAAAGCGAGCTTGAAGAACACCAACGGCGAGGGGGTGGTCAAGAGAACAGCGGTGCACAGGGCCACGCCGAATCCCCTTTTCCACGAGACCTTGGTACTGCCCTGCCCGGTCAACAACAATCACTGCACCAGCAGCAAGCCCACGTCCCTGGACATCGCGGTCTGGCACAGGGATCGTCGTGCAAGGTGAGCATGCTCGAAAAAAGGAAACACACGTATACAACGGGGGCTTGTTGTGGAGGGGAGGTTAAACAAGGAGAAACGTGTTCTCTTCGGATGTTCACCAGATGGGGCAAGATTTCCTACGTAATTGCACCTTCGCCGAACGATAGTCAGTGCCGCTTCGTACGCGGCGCGACATTCCAATCTCACGCAAGAATCTTTCGGAACGTTTAGTTTACGTTAGCTGCCTGCGCGAAAACAACCTACTTTTAGATAGGGCGCGTTATCACCTTATTCGAGCTTTCCGCGATTTCGAACGGCATAGAAAAATTCGTAGGAACGGCAAGGATAGGAGGCGGCCAGGCGCTGTCTCCGAGGAAAAGATATCGGGGTCAACAACTACGGCTCGTTAGTCCAAGACGGACGAGCCAAGCAACCCTGCTCCCAATACTGTTGCCAACCTCGTTTGGGCTTATCGTCGGTAAACGCAATTTAGGAAAATCGTTCAAACTGAAACGCCCGTCTCGGATCTGTCCATTTCGTAGGAAAATCGTGGTTTGCGCGTGGTAGCCGTGCTCTGCTCTAGGTACGTGGAATACGATAATTTACCGGTCGATAAGTGACGCCGCGCCGCCCCGAGTTGGGATAATTTTACGTAGGTTCACGAAGCAACGGTCCATCGAAATACCGAAACGAATTTCTGGGGTATACGCGGATTCCTTCCGGTAGGAGGGGGAATCGATTCCCTGGAAGCATGCGCACCGTGCCCGCCACGTGCACTTGGTCGCATCCGCACGTCTCTGCAATGGTCTCTCAAACCGTCTACCTTTTCCCTCCACCCTCCGTAAATAGTTGAAAGTTACGTGTGTGCGTGTGTGCGCGCCGTCTATCACGCCGCTTTACTACTTACACGCTACTACGAGAGCCGATACACACCGCCGTCCAACTTCCCCACCGGCCGCCAACATTTATGCACAACCTTTCCGTTTCTCCTGTTTCAGACGTAGCGAGCTGTTGGGCTGCATGACTCTGCCTCTGCCACTCTCTCAAGATAAGGTAAATATTCATTCCAGTTTCGGTAATCGCGAGACGCACATGATGGGCAATAATGTACATACATACGTGCGTATATCGTTTTACGGGAACGGTAGAATTTCGACGACGAGGAAGTTCGATACACGCTTGCACGTCAGCTGTTTACCAGGATTCCTAAGTCTTCGTGGCTTAAGGTCAGGGCTAAGCTCGTTACGAGGCAAGCAGGTGTAACGTTACCCGGCAAAGATTCATTTCACGCTTTGACCTCGTTAAACGTGTGATAGGTGTCGCCGGAATATCTTGGCAACTTCGTCCAGTTGTCGTCAACTTGAGAGAAAAAATGATCATGGTGGCAATCTACTGTGTGGTGTTCTTCGTGGTTGTAGTGCTGTTGAAAATATTTATGTTCTGTTGATACGTGGAATGGGAGTTGTCCCTGTTCCTCGTTGGCGTCGCGTGAATTCAGAGTCGAGAGTAAAGGTTGAAACGATCTTTGGATGGAACGAGCAACACGCTTCCGTTTCCGAATAGAACAGTGTTACAAAAACTTTCCATCGGCAAAAATTAAGGTTGCCCGCGTGTTCACGGTACGGCGCGGCGCGGCGCGGCGCGTTCAAACGAATCGAATCGAGTCGAGTGGTTGACTGTTCGTGTGACGGAACGATTGGGAAATATGTTTCAGGAAGCGACATGGCATCCGCTAGAAGCAGGAACCGGTCGGAACACCGTCAGCACTCCTTACGCAGGCTTGCCGCAAGACTGTGGTGTTTCGCCACCTCTGTCCAAGGACGGAGAACCAGATAATAATAATTCAGGAGCGGAGGACTTGACGTATTTGAGGCATCTCGAATTAGAGCCTATCGATCCCTTGACCGGTTTGCCCCTGCATCCTGGGTTCACAGCAAGGGGCGGTAGAACGCCGTGTACCATCACGAGGAGACTGATAAGGCAGACTGCGGCTAATCAGGTTAGTAGCGTTTAGCCTGTGCGAAACCTTACGCGAGAGAAACGCACAGGTGTGCGTATGTCGGAAAATCATTATCGTTTGGCGCAATTGCCCCGACAGAGTCGCAGGGGGTCCCCCGCCGATGGCTGCCATTATCGCGACACGTCCGCGATTCGAGGTCTCAAAGTAGACCTCCTCTAAAAGCCGAGTGGTGCTCACGGCGTGCTCCATCAAGGGCCCCCTGCAGCAGTTGGAGGTTCGTCCAAGGGCCTCCCGCGGAATCAACTCTATCTGTATTTCCGTTGGTGCGCGTTCACGCTTCTTCATCTTTCATCGAGGAACCTTTCTTCCCTGTCCTAGATTCCATGGGGATTCTCGCTATCCTGGGGAAGACCACCCCGCGTGGAGCGCGTCGACCCTGGCAGCCCGGCGGAACGGTCCGGTTTGAGGCCAGGTGATCACGTGGTATTCGTCGATATGACCAACGTGGTGACACGGTCGCGGGAAGAGATACTTGGACTGATCCAGGCGGCCACCAATCAGCTCATCTTGGAGGTTTACCGCAAGGGGAACGTTCTACACTCGTCGATACACCGGCCCACCTCGATGAACGTCAATCTGCAGCAATCGATCGCCGGTGGACAGCATGCGGTCGCGTTTAACGCCGAGGTCGGTACAGGCGTGTTAGTCTGAATCCCCGGCAGACACACTCGTTTCGAAGTTGCTTCGTTCCAGCAACCGTTCGAGAACCAGTCACGAAGTCGATCGAGCTTTCGTTCTTCGTGATTTTGCTTCACTCTTTTCTTTTTTTCTTTTCCTTCTTCTCTCTCTCGCTCTCTCTTCTTTTCGTTCTACTCTTCCGTTCTTGTATGTTTTTGTATATCGTCGGCTTTGAATTGACGAAAATGATCCGGACGGATCGGCGGCCATGCTCGGTCAAGTTCGAAACAATTTCTCGCGAGTCGCGACACGCTGCATGCGTTTCCTTAGAGCTTATATCTACGTATACTTTCTGTTCCGTTGCACGTCTTGTCGCGCAACACTTCTGTACATTCATTTTCCGTCACTTGTCTTGTACTTACTGTAAACCCGTAGTGTATAGCGCGTGTCCGTTTCCTTTGTCGACGGACACGGTTAAGTTATGATGATGCAGTTATGTTTTGTAATTTCTACGGTTGTCTTTTTTTTGTTGCTCAACAAGTTCTGTTTCAAAGCATTCGCCGCATTTTCTTCATTTATTTCACCCCTATCCTCTTATTTGATGCGTCAGAGCGCATAAA